GGCGACAGCGGCTCGTACATTGTGGCGGAGGGAGGTTGACAAATCCCTGTTTCGCAGGATGCCAATGGTGCGGCTGCTGCTGCAGAATGTGCTCTTGGCTGCTGTGGCTGGCGTCCTTGGTGCTGCTGGTGAGGTCGCTAGTGGTGATTTGGCTCTCATCGGGCATCATGTCGGTCGAGAAGCTGCAGGAATGGCCATTCAAAAGGAAAGAGATCTTCTCGTCTTCGGCAGCTCGGGGACGCAGCGCATTGATGTGCGTTGGCTCCCGGACGTTCGAGTCCATGGCGGCGGGTTCGCTTCTTGTCATGTCGTTCGTCACTGTCAACGTGGGTGCACAGTCTGGCGATGCTTTAACTCATGGATTGGACAGAGCGGCACACCCGGGCGAACGAGGGATCAAGTTTCAAGAATCTGGGGTAGAAGGCCAGTTGACGTGAGCGCTTTCTTCGGTGGACTGAGAGCCCGTGAGCTCGTCTCCGCCTGGTCCGGATAGGTGACCGTGTTCTTCAGCCGTGGAGGTGTTCAAGTGATTGAAAGTGAAGGTTTGCGGAAGGAAAAGAAGTTTGAGAAGATGGAAGAAAAGCAATGGCTTGGAGGACCGAACTCGGGGGGAACGCCGTAGGGCGGACAGTCATTGCGTGACACTCGACTGACCTGACTTACCTTTTTGGGGAATATGTTGGAGAAGCTCCCCTCAATGTGCCTGGTTCCTGGAGCGAGAACGCTCTGAATGCCGGCGAATAGACCAATAGCGCCGTTGCGGAGTTTCGGGTTCGGATCCGACAATCATTCAAGCACGTCATTGCTGATACACTGATCTACCCCTATGTACGTGATGATGTCTCTCAAGTGATACGCAGAACTACCCGCGACCTGCCAGCTTGTAAGATCGTGCTAAAAGACCCGAGAAAAAGAAAGCTGTACGCGCTCGATCTCACACCGGTCCAATTACTATGCTCCTTTCAAGTCATATAACATATGTTGTGTACCGATGGCTTGCAAGGCTTTTCAGTTCTGTCTCGGGTAATACTCGGAACTCGCATGAGAAGGCCCTAGAGTACTCAGTAATTATTGATGCGCGGAGAGTTCCCAATCAGGCGGTAAGATGATCACTTGATTGAAGTTGGCCTGCTCCCTGGGCTAGGTACGATGAACTTGTTCCCTGAATGCTCACTATACGCAACGACATACTAATCGCAAACAGACGCAATATTGCCTTACTATTCTTACTATTCTGAAAAGCCGTATTAACAGCGCAACATACAAAGAGCCCAACCGCCAATCTGTAGTTCTTTGAGTCTTGACGTCTCTCTCAAGCCTCAACTCAATGTGGGGCCGGAGGAGCTGCCGCGCAAGGGTCCGTTGGGCCACTCTTTCTCCGTGACTCATTTTCCTCTCCACCACCGAACATGAGCAGGGTTAGGGCATCTATCGTCAACACCCACAACTGGTCGGTTAGCTCAGTTGGTTAGAGCGTGGTACTAATACATCATCAGATGTGTGGAGTAATGCCAAGGCCGGGAGTTCAAGCCTCCCACTGATCATGTCCTTTTGCTGCTCGATGCTTTGATTTTTGTAAGCATACGCTGTTACCCAACCTACTACTACTGCTTGCTATCTTTAAATTCACTTTGCAGCCGAATTCCAGATCATTGGAGCGGGCGTCATCCAATTTCTTTTCACCGTGGAACATGAAATCATCTATATCCTCGCTGATAAGTCAAGTCGCATGTGCTGCTACAGGGGAACAATGCACCCACTGGACATCATGGCAGTATGTGCCGAGCTGTAGACAATAGCGAAGGCTAAATAAATGTTTGTGCGGAAAACAAGTGGTTCACTCTTCTCGGTCGAGTTGTCTACATCTAGACATTCTATGCGGAACTCAACGGTGATCATCTGAATGCAGAAACACATGGCAAGGAAGGTACAAGGTTCCCATCGTATACGTTCTGCCCCTCAAGACCATATGGCATGCATCTCTGGCAACCGTTGCAGCGTTCTAGAAGTTCTAGAGAAGAGGCTTTAGACGATGAGAAATCCGCAAAAGGATCATTTCGGGTTTTGCGATTTGCATTGATACTCTCATGGCCGAAGGTGTACAGAGGATCCCTGTTGTCGCCCATCCGCTTCGACTTGTGCACGTATGTCCAGATGTTTTCGTCAGCTAGATTCTCCAAAGATTTCTTCTTTGGGAAACTACCGAACGAGGTCAATGTTGACCGGCTCGCTTTATAATTGAGATGAACTGACTTAGCCAATCGTCTCTATGCTCACAGCTCCAGGCAGAAATATGCCTGAACACTTGTGTCCGAAAGCCTAAATTTGATTGGGCTCAAGTCTCAACTCTTCGATCAAATCTCAACGGTCGTGCAGGTCGGGAAAAGTCCCTGCCGTGAGCGCACTAACAGAGAAACATCAGGCAGAGCCGAGCGCCTCCCAATCACATGGTCGCTGCACCTCTGCCGTGCGTCGCTCGCTCGGCCATTGCCAAGAGATGAACGCGTTTCTTGAAAATACGCCATGGCAACCCATCGGCAGGACGCCGGGTGCTTGCGGCTCAGGGACGCAGGGTGGTTTCGCTTTTCAAGAGAACTGCCAACAACTACTTGACAGGAAGCCGTTGTCGCCGGCTGGTTGGAGCCCAAACACTGTCCAAGCGTTCGCCGCCCATCAATACTACCCTTCAAATCACGGGAGTACGTCAGAGATATTCTCGGAAGCTCGTGGGGAAATCCAGGCAGAAATGACAGGCTCGTCCCATGATGCGCGACAAGGAAGCCTCGTATGTCGCGTTCCAAAGCCGGCCAGGTTCAGCATTCATATGATGAATCGCCGTTGTCAAATGCCGCTATGGAACTACAAAGACCACCTCTTGTCCTGTTCGTCATCATTCTGAATCACTTTCAACTGAGTCTCATCGCCTTGAATGGACGGTCTGGGGAAGCCAATGGGTACTTGGTCACTAAAACTTCATTGCTTAACTTCTTCGGTCACCGATCAAGTTTCTCAATATGAGTGAGGTCCATGTGTTGCTTTTGAGGGTTGCTACGAAGATAGGTTGACACGCTATGGGCAAAACAGCCACCATCGCTTGCAGTTTCTTGCTTTCACCATTGTCGTCAGTACCGATTTATTCATCCCTGCTGCCAGAGTGACGTGGTCTGGCCTTCAACGCTGACCTTATCAATGGCGACTACCTCCTCCTCGCTCAATCTCCAACCAAGTGCTTCAATCGCCTCTCTTGCCTGCTCAGCCCTGCGGATGCCGACGACCGGAACAACGCCTTTTCCAATGTTGTAGTTAAGAGCAATAGAAGCTGGGCTCTTTCCTCGCTTCTCTGCGATCTCTCGCAAGGTGGCGATGGTTGGCTCAATATCCTTCATATCGTAACTGCTGAAGCGGTACTCCTTAGGCGGTGGGTTCTCAGGTGTGTATTTCCCGGACAAGCGCCCTTGCGCGAGGGAAGAGTAGGATTGGAAAACGATGTCGCTCGCCTGGCACTTTCTAATGTTCCCAGAGATCTCAGGGTAACGACGAAGCACGTTGAACTCGCACTGGTTCGTAGCCAAAGGCACGTTGTGCTTCTTCAGCTCGTCTCGAATCTTGAAGACGTCCTCATTGTCGTAGTTGGCAACGCCCACAGCTCGGGTGAGACCCTCCTTCACGCACTTGGCCATGCCCTCGGCAATGTTCGAGAAGCTCTGGGGGTGGATAGGTCCATGAACGAGGTAAATGTCGACAAAGTCGAGACGCAGGCGTTCCAAGCTAGCCTTCAAGCTCGTCACGGGTGCGTCGACGGGGTGGATGAAGTTCTCCGCCTTCATGGGCGTGCTGAAGAACTTTGTCTGCACCACGAAGTTGTCACGAGGAAGTCCTTGCACAAGATCGCCAACGATCTTCTCGCTTTCGCCGTTTCCGTACGCCTCCGCGGTGTCGATGAAGTTAATGCCCGCGTCGTACAGAATCTGCCATGCCTCCTGGATTTTGATCCACTCGCTCTCGTCGTAATGCCATGTTGGCTTGTCTCCCCATGGCCAGCCGCCAATGGAAAGATAGGAGGCTTTGACAGGGCCATTGACTGCGGGAAATGACAGACGATCTTTGGCAGTTGGACAGAAGCTTTGAGGCAGAACATTCTTGCCGGCCAACTCAGGATCAACGCCCTTTGGCTTATTGGAATGAAACCCAGAGACCGAGGATAGGCCAGTGCTCAGTGCGGTTTGCAATGCTTGATCCATGGCGATTGGCGCAAATAGATGTTATGAGAGAAAAATAAGTTTTGTTCTTGATTCGTAGTCAAGCAAGAATTCGGCTTTAGTCGATGGGTATTGCAAACTTCTTGGTTGTTTTACTGCGTCGCCCAGTACGTTGGGCCATTTTATAGCAACGGTAAGACACAGTTTTCTTTCGTTTTCTTCATCATGGAACGACACGATGATTTCATCGTCGCTACGGATGCTTTTGAGGTCAGTTCGGCGTCATGCCACGATCTTCCCCAGGTTTACGAGCCCGATGGTCCACCTTTACCCAGATATTTTGTTCAGGACCCAAAAGATTGGCGAATTGACGCTTTTCAACAAATGGGTCAACATATGAGTCAACATATGTCACTATTACTGTCTTTCTTCTACCCCATGTCCGCATGAAACCACCACGACGATGCTGACAGCGGGATGTTCTGCGCCTCGATTGAAAGACGCGGCGACGCCATGTTGAATTCCTGTTCAGCCACATCGCGATGCACAAAGCGCAGTTTGTGGCTTATTCCATCACATGCAAAAATCAACACCAGGAGACCGTGTACCATTATGGCCCGATCGCCCAGTCTCAACAATTCGTGAAGAGACACTGACGTCACCATGAAGGGGTCATTGAATGTGAGACAGGCACCAAGCAATCACATAGCCCCATAAAACCCGGCGTCGATCGCTTTTCTAATACCTCCGTTCTGAGTGGCTCTCACTTCTTGCACAAACTTTTTGACACCCATCACCATCATGGCTACAGAAGGGCAAACGTACACCAATATGAAGAAGGCCTCCAACATGCTCGGGGAGCCGGTTATCTCGTCCATCTCAGAGGTCCCAATTACCACGCAGCGGAAACCGTTCCTGCAGCCCGAGGATGACCAGAGACTTTCCCACACTGGTAGATCATTCTCCCTAGGTAGCGTTAGTAGAAAAGTGGAGTTAACCATCGCCAAAGGCACTGCTCGGGCCAACATGGCTGCGACGCACGATCGTCCGAACGGCACGACGGAGTATGATTGGAACAAAATTCATCGTCATCAAACTGTGAGTGCCCTTTCATCGGTGGCTTGTTTTAGATGCGGTCCAGTAGCTACGGTTCGGTAGCTAATGGGTATAAACACAGGTATTGCAACAACACTGCGAGTTCTTCGACCGTGTAAGTATTGCCATCCAGCTCATCAAATTCTGGTATCCTAATGCCTATTAGGACCAAGATGGTGTCATCTGGCCACTCGACACCTTTATTGGATTTTACAAGCTCGGTTTTGGACTCATTCTCTCAACAATCTCGGTTTTCATCATTCACGGCAATTTCTCCTATCCCACGGTGCGCGGGTACTTACCCGATCCCTTCTTCCGCATCTTCATCGACAACATCCACAAGGATAAGCACGGAAGTGACAGCGGCGCGTACGACACTGAGGGCCGGTTTAGCTCTCAAAAGTTTGAAGACATATTTGCCAAGTATGCCGAGGGCAGGGACTACATGACGATTGGTGACATTTTTGCCATGCTCAAGGGCAACCGGGTAATCGCCGACCCTGTTGGCTGGGGAGGAGCATTTTTTGAATGTGAGTCAATTTATCATTTATTGATGATGTATGACACTAACTTCGCCACAGGGATTGCCACTTATATAATGCTTTGGCCTGCCGATGGCCGGATCTGGAAGGAAGATATCCGTGGCATTTATGACGGCAGCCTCTTCTACACTATTGCTGCCAGAAGATCCCAAAAGAAGGACGTCCAATCTAAGCACAATTAGTGTATGGTATCATCTGATGGGTATAGTAGGCATTGCTATCTGGGATCATGTGATCACCCTCTTTGCATACTCAATACATAGGCAGACCGCGTAGCAAGAGTTGATTTGTGCGGGCATTTCACTTGATTAAGCCTTTCATCTTTCCAAGAAGCTGCGTTGTGTTAGTAATAGTAGAAATGTAGATAGTTAGATGCATCGAGACATCGGAGACACCATATCTCCATCACTGACATATATACTCTGGGCGGTTGTATTCTATTCTAATTGAGTCACAATTCTGTTTATTTGAATTTCAGCCTGCGTAGTAGTACAGCTCGAATCAATTCCATATGTGACGGTATGTTCATTGGATCAAATTCATCTGGGCAGGACGTAGGAGTAGACTGTAAATCCTTACAATGGAAAGGCCCATCCTCAGAAACAAATCATAAGCAGTGAAGTAGTTTCCAAAGCGAAATTAAGTAATCATCCCATGATTTTGGCGAGGAATTCATTCATGGGTGCTTACCCCGCGTCACATCAATGCCCCAAACCCCCCTCCCTCTCGGTCGCCGAAGCTTACTCGGCCGTGCGGAGTTCGTTCATCATTGTAGGCAGTGACTGTTAATTAACATCTCGCAGTATCAATAGCAGTATGGTTTAGGCGCGCCCGCCTCAGTTTCTGGTAACGGTTGAATTCGAGAATATCAACGACAACGTTCTAGTGCGTTATGCGTCCATCGTGAAGCTCAAGACGTTGATTTGAAATTGTTGCACCTTGCTGGCTGCTAGTTCCTAAGCAGCCGAGGGGCGTTGATGAGAACACGGTGGGCCGTTGGACCGTTGTTTGTGTGTGATTGTCACTATCGAGGAGCGCATTTGGAGAATTATTGAAGGTCATGACATCGTAAATTAAATAATCTGAGTCGGTATCTAAAATCTGTTTCTTTCTGATATAATCCCATGGACCAAAACCCCAAATCGTAAGATCGTCAATAAATCGACTGTGAAGGAATCTCTGCCGCAGTCGCGGGGTCCTCCATATAAGGATCAGTCGGATAGAACTCCATAATGATGTACCACTGAATCAAAGCAGCCATCAAAAAACCCAGTCCACCGGTCAAGAATAACGCCGCGATAGCCACAGCCGCAGTCTTTGCGAGAAGGGTGACAACGCCAACAGCCAAGAAAGCACCAGCGCCGACCAAATTCCAGAGTCCATTCTGCCAACTGGCGTCGAGAATCTTGGGGATGTACCACTTGTCCTGAGACAAGTAGATCATCAGAAGACCGGCGATCACGAATAGACCGCCACCGATGAGGAGAGGTGATGTTACGAAAATAATACCGGCGCTCGGGTGTGAGAGATCGAGAACGCCCGGGATCCCAGAGACGGCGGAGACGGTGAAGGAAGAACCGGCGAGGAACTGGAGAATACCAGCTCGGAAGGCCAAGCTGGGCAAGAAGACAGTTCGAAGCTCGTACCAGTTGGCCCACCAGACCCATTCATCGCTGCCCAGTAAAGCTGGCTTGTACGCATCAGGCGCATCTTTCTTCGGGTCCAATACGCCACGGTCGACGTTGAAAGCTGCCAGCAATCCCATGAGACCGCTCAAGGCGAATAGCGCGCCTCCTAAGGTCTTTGTTGTTTGAATACCAGCATCCTGTCCCGGGAAGTCCAGAGCAGGGCTCAATAGAGGAATGAGAGTGAAGATGCCGTTGAGGCAGAAGCAGATACTGCCGGCGATGAACACCATGGTTACGAGCCATCCCATATCGCGGTACGGGTAAATAGTAAGCATGGCTCCTAGTCTCGAGAATCCACTGCGATATGATGATGCCGTTACTGAGAAGACGTCCGCGTCTCGCTCCGGCTTTGCTGCCCTTTCCGCGTCACAGGCCGCTTTGTATGCCGCATAGTCGATATGGTTGAACGTGCGATGCCAGACGGCGGACGCGAACCGCTCGTCGGCTGATCTTGTTGAAGGTGGGTATCCGATGGAGCTGAGCGAAGGGTAAGGCGATACCCAAGGCTTGGGCATGCCTCCCGCCCCCGGAGCCCTCAGGTAGGACACCCGACGAGGGTTGTAAGCGTTCATTATGACTGAAGGTGATCGTCTTCTGCTGGAGTGCCCCTTATTCCATTTTCTCTTTCTTGGCACGCCCTTGATGAAGAGTGCTGATCGTTCGGCTGTGTCAACCGAAAATCATGAGGAAGAAGAGATGCGGGAACAGGTCCCTTATTTACGCCTCACGCATCCTTCGCCGGAACGTCATGATCCCTCATCGGGCTTCTAGCTTCGCACCATTTCCTGCAAGCCCAACCCCTCCGGTGGCCTGAGCATGAATGTTAGCTCACATCGTTTCAGTGCGTGCGTATTGGAGGGAACAGACGACATACGGGGGACGCGCCGGAGGAGGACCCAAAGGTTCACGCCGTAGAGTGTGTTGGTTCTAGGCGATGGGACACCTGAACACTTGATCCCCATGTCGCTCTCGGCATGCACGGGCGGTATTTTCAGACGACGTGCGTCCCCGCGTCCCCTCTCTGCTTCCTGGCTGCCTGTCTGCCCAAGGGACGGCCGACTTCTCCACGACTGACCCTTCTCTGAGACACGCATTGCCTTGAGTCCGGTTGATAAGCTGTCGTCCAGAAGTTTAGGACAGAAGCTGGGGGAGGAGGGCCGACGGCAGGGATTGGCCGCGAGTGGCGAACTCTGTCCGGGTTTGAAACAAACCTTGGATCCCCCCTCTTGATGGACCTGCTCTCTCTCACCAGCAGTGAATAGTAAATTGCATTGCTACTCCTGCGTCTGTATGCGCAGTTGGTCCGTGATGTCACGCCGAGTTGGTCGCACCAAGGCCGAAGAAACTTCCCAGGCGAAGGTCCCCGACTAAGGCGGCGCATAGCATGCAACACAGCAACCAACACGCTGCGCCTTCTCCTCGAACGGCCTAGCGGCAAAGCGGAATAATTCTCACTAGCTCATATTTGGGCCAGCTAAGAGGCCAGCCTACGAGTCCGTTCTGGCGCCCGCGCATGTTTTGGTGTCGGCAGTACGCCGTTTAGTCTTTCGGCCGCCGCCTAGTGTCCGCAGCCCCTTGCAGGAAAAGGGGAGAGTACAGGGGAAAATCCCACGTTCTTCTCCAGATCGCCAGATCGCCCTGGATCCAGTATTACCAGTCGCATTTCGATCAGTGATTGATCTTCGTCGAAGAAATCACGAACTGGCACGATTTTGACTCTTGGAGTTGAGGCGGCGGGTGATTGAGGCCCAAATGTTAGTTCGCCCTGAGGCTTCGCGTCATCCAAACAAGCTGCCCTCCTTATCCGAAGTGTCTCCCACTCTGCCCTTGGCCCTCCGATCTTTTCTTCACTTCCTTCTCGCTCTCGTGAATGAGGCTTCCTCCTTAGCTAACTCCCACCTAATAAAATCCGAAGCCACCTCAGTCTAGGAATGCCTAGCCTGTTTCCAGCCCACATGTCGCCTCACGCTAGAACAAGCCGTGAGGATACATTTTCCGCCAAAAATGATTTGTTTTGAGTTCGGACTTTTTAGCCACCTTGTACACGGATCCCTGTACAGAACATCGGCCATCACAGCCGGCGCGCACACACGCACGTTAGGATCACAGGTTGGTGCCTGTGGCTCTCTTCCTCTTTCCCATGGCGACCAACCTTCCCCCGACTCATGCAAGACGGGCGCTGGCCAGAGTCTACGGCTTGCGAGGCTCTCTGTCTGATGTTTTTGTCGAATGCTCCCCGTCCTGCGCCCTCGGCCGCTTCCGCGACAGAGTGGAACGCTGGCTAACCGGCGCCGACGGGTAGCAGCTTAAACGCTCAGGGGCAACTCTGTCATCTCGGCTCCGGTCGATCACCAAAACGCAAAAGATAGCGAGAACGAAAAGAAAAATGCATAGCGGGTAGTAATGTGCCGTTCTTCTGTTTGGCATAGGTGTCGTTAGCGAATTCATGTTGGCAGAGAAGCGGATTGCCTTGCCCAGCGCCAAGCTGCGTTGTCTCCCCGGTGCGAAGATCTGCGCTTGGAGGATTATTTATGGAAACAACCAAGCCTCAAGCGCCAAGCGCCGCCAAGCACAGGCTGAGCGCTGTTCGCATTGCTTGATCTGAGGCTCTCGAGGGAGTGTTCGTGAGAATGTGCTGCCCGTATCACGCCGCCAAGAGCACAGCCAAGGCGGGTAGACAGCCTTGGCGACCACGAAGAGAAAGAGAGCGCCGCCTCAACGCTGGGTTGACAAGGTTGGGCGGCCATTTGATGAGACCAAAGGCACTTCAAGACAGGTCGGAAATCCAGCTTCTTGGTAGGGTGTCACTCGCTTTCCCAGGATCACTGAGGGACTACTACGTTGCGACAAGGATGACCGCTGACCCAGCCCCCGAACTCTATGAGATCGTGATTGCACAACGGCCTTGATGATCTGTGCCGGCGGAAGCAGCCCAGGGGAGAGCCAACCAGATGGCATTGGTTCCTGGAGTCTAGATGAATTCAGGCACTTAACGGTCGCAGGCTGTAATTCTTCGACGCGCTAAGGATTTAAGAATGAAGCTTGGTTTTTAAGATTATTGGGTAAGATTATATGTTTATATCGATTTGGATTTTCGGTGCCTTGCTCCCGAAGGACTAGTCTGCAGGGTGGGCAGCTGAGTTCCCCCAATCATCTGGAGAGACGACCTTGTCCAGACGTCAAGCTTTCGCGAGGGCGGGAAGTGGGGAGGTTGCCAGCTGCATTGAGCGTCGAGCAAATAACCTTTGCCTTGAAATTCAAGCAGGTATGTGCGCATGAGCAAACAAACCTGATTTCAGACGGTTGCCTGACAAGTGTCTGTCAATTCCAGAGTCTTGGGCTTGACTCGGAAACCCCTCCTCGCTTACGCTTAACGCCAAAGTCGCAAAAACAGGGCGGATTCAGGGCGTTCGATAGCATTTTGGTGAGGCTTAGACACGTAAGCTGCAGATAACAGAAGACTTTCCTCCATGCTGATGGAACATAGCTTAGTCGCTCTCAAGATAATGTAAGAACCAACCTATCGTTGAAGTGGCCTATCATTCGAATGGCTTCATGGACTCTCAAGCCTCAGACAATCGCAAACATTGTCCCAAACCAGGTGTTCACATGGACTGACCCGACATTCGACGGCAGAAGCGGCACCGTAGAACTTTGGAGGGTAAACGGCTGAAGGGTGAAAAAAGCTTGCGGTCCGCCGTCTACCCGTTTGAAGAAGGAACTTGCCGCTTGTCATCCGAAGTTGACTGTTCGTCCTGGGGGAGAGGAAAAGTGGGACACCATGAATCGACCATGTCCTTGGGCTCACCACCAGCTTCACCAGCTCCTAGATCTCGTGAGAATGGTCGTGGACAATTGAAGATAATGAGCAATCTGTCCTGGGAAGTTGCGATAGGGGTTAGTCAGCAACCGGAATAGCTTCAGTTGAGTAATTCACTGTCAGCTTTGAGCAGCTTTGCTGTGAGACCTAACAAAGGAGGTCACGAGGCGTGGAAAGGCGTTTGGTCAGGCATCAACAATCACCAGCAACCGCGCCTTCCCTTTTGTCTAATGTTCCCCTTCGCGCCGATGTCTGCTCTCCTTCACAACTTCCCTTTTTGCAAAACAGCATCTCCCTCACAAAACACAACCTCAACGCTTTGCTTCCACAACTGTATCGCTATTGCCAGTCAAACTTGTTGTACAGAAGACGGCATGAGACACGTCTCATACAATACCCCCCTGACAATTTGAACAAGTACCCAAACCATGGACCGAAAAGTCGCAAACGAGAAGAAGACCCGAGAAGTCGCGACGATGGACTGGCCCAAGATGCCCGGCCAGTTCCCCAAGGTCAGCTCCCGTCCCCAGGAGCTGAGACAAGCTTCTTCCCTTACTCGTAACTCCTGAGCTGACAGAAGCTTTTGCTTCAGGGAAAGACGACCGGCTTCGATCTACCAGAGATGCAAAAGACCGCGAACTCAACTGCCAAGGCGCAAGCGCCGCCGACACCCCCCACGCCCACAGTCACGATCGGTGACAAGGTCAACGAGCTCCTGCAGTGGCGCGAGGGCGTTGACCAAAAGCTTGATGAAATCAATTTCAAGCTCGATCATCTGCTCAACGAGACGCTAAAGTCTCGCGAACTCGAGAGTCAGGAGACAGCGATGGGCACCAAGCTCGGAAACGCTTGTTTCCGCCTCGACAGCCACCACGACATCATCCAGGGCATCAGCCAAAGCCTCGCGGCGGCGAATAGCCAGGTCCATCGGCTGACGAACGAGCTTCGCAGTATCAAGGAAGCCAATGAGGTGACTGTGACTTTCAAGTCTACCCGACCGTAGGTGGCTGCCCAACAGTTGATTGAAACACCCAGGCTAATGTCCTTATCAGACAGTAGAAACGAGATGGATTAATGTTTGGAGTTTGGCACAAAAAGGAGCACAGCACAGGAGTTGTAAGGGAGAAGTCTGTTTTTTGACTTGCAAGCGCTTTGGCATTCTGTTCTGTCAGGTTGCACGGATGGTTCGCCCCAGCGTCGGGTCCTGTCACGAAGTTTGCCATTGGGTGTTTTCTGCGGCAGGTTTTGCATAGAGAATGGTGGAGATCACTGTTGGTCCGGTCTGACTTGGGTTGGGAGCATCAGATTCAGACTTCAGGGCACATTCGGTTTGCTTGGCAGTGGGTTGCAGCGAAGAGAATGCCGTTCGCGTCAAGAAGGATAGACATTTTGTTAAAACACGGAGTCTGTACCAGAACTATCTTTGCCTTGCGAACCAGATCGACGCTCCAATGAGGGGGACGATCAGGCTTGCCATTTTGAGACCAGTCTTCTTCCAGGACGCGAACAGGTCCATTGTCGCCAACCTTTGGAACTCTGCAGTGTCATTAACTCTGGGGTAGGGGACGTCCGGAATGTCTTTGCCAATGAAGGGGCAAAGCTTGTCCCAGCCCAGGCCATCTTCCAATCTGACCACAAGAAGCTTCTCGGGAGGAACCAACTCCTTGACAGCTTTGTTACTGTGTGCCCGGTTAGCCTTCCGACACCTGACAGCCGGAAACCGAATGATTGACGGCGATCACGTCCGCGCGCGCGAACGATGGGTGGGAATAAACTTACTGGGCGTTGTACAGTTCGACACACTCATCCAGCTCCCTCTCCTTATCTCCGCCCGTGTAGCCTCGGTAGAGGGCTCGTCGGAAGCTGTGGCCGAGCTGGGTCAGGTAGTAGGTGTAGGCGTCGAACATGCCAACCAGACGCACGGAGGGCGTCGTGAAGAAGGTCGCCATTGGCTGGAAGGTCTTGGCCACGGATCGCCGCCATGCCTCGGGGTCCCGCTCGGTCAGGACGAACTTGGCGTCCGGGTATGCCGCCACGAGCTCGGGGAGGAACCACGCGGGCACGTCGGTGACGCTGTCGTAGTCCCCGAACCACTTGTCAAAGTCCTCTCGGGTGAACTTCTTGCCCTCGCCCAGGGACCCGGCTCGAACCGCGTCGTCCATCATGCGGATGTGCGACACGCCATTCTTGAAGACTTCGACCTGGTGGTATGGCTTGTAGCCGAGGATCTTCAGGGCGTGGTAGAATCCGTTGGTTGCGTTTCTAGAAACGACATTGTCAGATCGTTGGGATGCATTGGGGGCCGTCCCACTTGTTAGTTATGGCATTGGGTCGCGTACCGTCCGAAACTGAGTAGGATGACCTCCTTCTCCCGAGGGTTTGGGTGAACTGGTTGGCGGTCGATGAATCTAGACATCTTTGTCCCTTGCTAGTCTTCAATTGCGTGATTGCAGGCAAAGATGTCGTGATCGAGGAAACGCGATGGTAGATATTATCAACGGGTGCAGCTCCCGGAGGCGACAGGGTATCTCGGAAACCGCCTCGTTGCTGCTTACCTCCGGCCATTCTCGATGCACGACGTGGTCGACATATCACATACCCCGCGGCTGATCCCCAGCGCTTATGCGGTGAACAACGCACATCGCGGGCCGGGGGAATCGTTCCGCTTGGTATATCGAACCACTCATGCAGTCTTCGTGGGTCGTGATGTGGCGTTGGATATGTCATGTTGCATTATCTACGAGGGTTGCTGCAACCAACGTGCCCCAAGTTGTGGGGCGCGGAATAGTTTTAGGTCAACAGAAGCGACTATTCGCAGACATTGTACGAGCTTCACACGAGGGCGAAGGGTACTTGCATGAGAAATGCTACACATATCCACAGTTAGATGTAAAATGAACTTGCGGGATTACAAAGATTTGCAGGTACGGGAATCAAGAAATATCCGAAGGCCGAGACATTTATGAAGAAAAGAGTCCGCTTCGCGTCGCGAGCTCAACAGACTCTGTGGATTGGTAGACGAGATTCGTTCTTAGTTGCTCAAACCCTTGTAACTAGATAACAGTTTCTTTGTAGCGAGACTACAGTATCCAGATGATTTGTTGGCTTTTCTTGACATGATGAAAAGAATATTATGAGCGGAAAGAATATGCTAACAAAGACCCAGGCAATTGATTTCCTTGAAACTTGCCTTTGTCTTGTGAACAACGAAAAGACTAAAACTGCAAAATGGATGTTTAGGTCGACATAAAGGTCGGCTTGTCGTCCTACAACGAATGAGTGAATTCAATTGACCAAACTGCATACCTGAGCAATTCCAATCATCCTCCTTTCTTTTCTGAATGAGTGTTCCAACTTAGCCTTATGGATGCCCTGAATCCTTCTAAGACAGGGCCGGCACTGCCCAAGGCGACCAACTGTCAACATTGAAGTTATTGTATGTTTGATCGGTCCGGTAGACACTTGTCGAGCCGCCAGACTGCTTCAAGAGGAACTTGTTGATGAATGCAGTTAACTCGCTCTGCTGGGTGCTCGGGAAGCTGCAGTGCGCATGATTCCCAACCTGGCTGTATCCGAAGGTATCAAGAGACCCCAGCGCCTGCCACTGCTTTCTAGCCCCTCCCATACAGCCATAAGTGCTCATCGTCCCCAGCCACTCGTAGTCAGGGTTCTCCATGATGTAAACTGGCCTAGGTGCAATGAGACCAGCCAGCATGTGGTGGTCAAAGGGCAGCTGGTTGACGTTGCTCGTGTACTGGTTGAAGTTGGGACTGAACCACGGATTCTCGGTCACGATCTGTTTGGCGTCTTGGACTGTGAACCCGTTGCGGTTCTGCCAGTCGGCGATGCGCCAGCATCCAGCGCCGCCGGCACCAGATTCCTGGGGCAAAGTGAGCGCGATGCGGGAGTCAAAGGCGCCGGCGACGAAGGCTCCCTTGCCATTACGGGAGCAGCCGGTCACTCCCAGCCGCGTGGGATCAATTCCAACGGATGGGGTGAGCTCAAGCGCGTCGATGATTCGGGAGACGGCCCATGACCACGCTATCAAGGCGCCCGCACTGTGTCCGCTGCCGTAGAGATCGTAGAACTTGCCCTTGCCGCGAGAGCCGCCGCCTTGCTGCTGGGCGATTTCGTCATTGTTGAAGGTGATTGTGCCGACGGTGGATGGCACGGGGATGCTCGCGGCACCGTAGGCGATGATGGCCGGGACGCTGTTGCCACTCGGCTTGGAGATGGTCACGGCGAAAGAGATGGACTTTCCACCGTCCGAGACGCTGATGGTGAGCTTGTTTCCAGAGTAGGAGGCGGTCACGGATTGTGGTTTCGGGGGCAACGTTCCGAGCTCCAAGCGCTGAAGCTGTGAACTTATCTCGGCCTGTCGACAGGTCCAGTCGGCTTTGGTCGTGACTTTGCCTCCGTCCTGGAAAGTAAAGGGGTCCGGCAACACCGAAGTGGATGGGCCGAGCCCGTTGGGCAGAGCGGGGCAGGCTGTTCCACCACCCCCCGGTGCACTCGAGGTACTGGTGACGGGGTTACCCGCCGAGGTAGTCGAGGTTTGTAGGGTGGTTGAGGGGGGCTGCGGCGCCGGAGAGGACGTCACGGGAGGGCTCCCGGGAACGCATTGCGAGTACCAGTCGTTTGTGTAGCGGCAGTAATAGCCGGTGATGCATGTTGTCCCGCCAGTGTGTCCGATTCCACCGCACTGAGCCCACGCTCCCTGTTGCGCAACTGCATGTGCGCTTAGAGCTACAATTGCCGCTGCAATTTGAAGGCTTTTCATGTCTTCTGCTTTCGGATTTGAGACGCGATAGTTGGTTATTTAATTGAGAGCAGCCTCCCGAGATTACGGACTAATTGCTTCATTTCTTGGGGGTTTTTATACAGTGATTGCTTGTCGCCAAGACGACCTTTTCACGATAATGATCAGAAGAAGAACGGAATGTCGATTTTAGCGTACCAAACATTCGTCCACCCCGAATAGGACTTGGACTGAAAAGCAGTACTGAAGACATTCAACTATTGGGATATCCCGCTTGTTGCGTTGCAATGAACCGATCGCGTGGTCTTCCGGGAAAACAGCACTTCAGGCTGAATGGAATAGTCTGTCTTGATAGTACCCCAACACTCCAAATGCGGATATATCCATGGTAGAATGGTGTCAGCTGGCCGAATCCAGCTTTCAATTTTACCTTCTGCAACAAATGAGCCTTTACATTTGAGATGTGTACGTGGCAAGCAACGGTCGAGTTTGTGTGTGGCATGATCAATTTATGTGCGCCAAGTTGACCTCAGGCAAGATTTGGGGCCTAAGCCATTCTCACACAATGAAGGCTTTTGGGGGGTGCGCCCTGGCAATATGTAGGTCTTTGACACTGGACGCCAGCTAAGCTACCCAGCCGTGAGTTCCCGATCGAGGGCTTTGTTGTTCATGCGGTACGCAGTCATTCTCGGTAGCGTCCCACAAGTTTGGATCCGCCGACCTCAAAACCGCTGATGGCTCGGACGAGCGGCTGTGCAATTGACGCGCAACTGCCAGCTTGTATTTGTTTTGAAAACAAGGTTGCAAGGCCACCAGTATGTCAAGAACTTGCTCATGGGCTCCCCACATATTCCCCAAAAAACGTCCGAAATTCCCAAGAAACGTCCGGCAATCAATTTGACGCCGAGAATTTCTTTTGCCGACACGGCAGTGACGGCAGTCTGAGTTTAGTGATCCGGCCAAAACGCAACGATCTCAAATAGGTGACTCTAGATAGAGTCTTTCTTTCGGACATGACCCACATAAGTGTGCAGTTGCTTCAATGTTCTTATGCGGAACATACCGTTAAGTCATTATACAAGGTCATTCTAGTCGAGCTCCAGTCAGAACAAGCCATGAGGTGGAATGCGGATATCGTGACTAGACGAGAGCGTAGACGACTAGGAGAACTTCGTCCCAAGTTGACTTTCACTTAGAGTCGTCATCCGAGCAACGAAAAGGCAAGGGTGGGCAGGTGGTATCTCTACAAGTAGTCTTTGCAGAGTAGTCCACTAGCAGAGAGTTAACTCAGCAATTCGGATAAGTTGCCTTGTGTTTCTCCCGTAATGTGGCGGTAAGGGATTAGGAGTTGCGGAAGCCGGCCCCTAAGCCCTAAGTCAGCATGGAGATGTTTCAGGGGGTGGCTGTTTAATCGGGAACAGGAGTTGAAGGAGCTCGGGCACGGCACCTCCGGAAAGGGGAAGTTAAGCATGTTCATCCGACGTTAAAGTCGTCCCGTCAGGATTATGCCGAATTTGCTTGCGGCTCTGTCGCTAGTTACATCCCATGTCAACTGAACCTCCCTACCTGTGATGACATGAATCGCAAGTCGAAGCGGTTGCGGACCTGCCCGAAATTTGGATCTGCGGCTTTGTACCTTAAGGAAGATGCCGATGACTGGAGTGGGGCGATTCCGAGTCCCGAACCAACAAGGCGTGGTCTTCCTCGTCGCCTTTCGACCACCTAGCGTTGAACTATCACTCACCTCTTTGAGTTCTTTGGGGTCTTTGATTAGTTCAATGTCAACCAGCACATTCAGTGTTTAGACAATCGCACTACAAAGACATATTTTCTTCACCGACTGTTTTCCTATGAAGAAACATATGAAACTGAAAACCCCCATGTTCCGCCTATGCGCTCCCCGCATACCGGCAAAAAGGGTCGGATGATTCATGCGCTAACCCACAACTCCACAACTGCTGTTATTTTAGGCTTCCCGATAGACGTCAACTTAGTCTCGGCACGGGAATGTGGGAGAGACCATCCGAAAGGGATATGCATTTTCACACATCAGTCAGCTATCAGCTGAGTTGTCATACTAGCACTACATGCACCCTCGATCGGGCCTCAATGACGAATCAGAGCTTGTCGGTTCCCGAAAGGTAATCTATTTAGCGTCCTTTACAACAAAGCTTGGCACTAAGTTGATATGCATATTGTTCCGTAGTTCCTAGTGAGCCCACCTCCTTCGACTGGGGACTACGGGGATCGTGGGCTAGCACAGCCCTGCCGGGCTCCTCGCGGGCTGTGTTCCGGGCCTGTGTGTCAGTGTTCCATCCGGAGATGATTTCCCAAAATTCATCGTCCCCGTAGATGCGCAGGTTTACATCACGGGTAAGGTTGGCGATGGGGGCAACGGCATGAGGTGGGAGGAGAGAACAACGTCACAAGAAGAGAGAACATATGACATTGAAGTTTGTATAAAGTAGGCGACCATTCACCCCTTCCAGGAAAGACTTTCCTCATCAACTCAAACAACTCAGTCAACAGTCACTCATTCGCTACCAATTCACAACCCACCACACTCTTTCAAACCAACAACCACTCTTTTACCACATTCAAAATGAAGTCCGCCGTCATCTTCTCCGCCGTCGCCCTCTTCGGCGCTGTCTTCGCTGCTCCCCTCGAGACTTCTTCCAACGAGGCTTCCAACCTCTTCGCTCGCGTAAGTTAGACACGATCTCAAATTCAGACCATCCAGATTTGCTGACAAGTCTGCTACAACAGAAGCTCTGCATCTCTGAGGACGGTATTGCCTGCTACTACGACAACAACCAGTGCTACTGGCACGACTGCTCTGACTGCAGTTGCGAGGACGTCTACAATGGCGCGAAGCTGATCCGCCGCGACTGCACCGACGCCAAAGACGCCGCCACCTGCCCCAACGTCCCCGACCCCAAGGCTCCTCAGACTCCCACTCCCAACCCCAACCCCAAGGCTTAAGATTGAGACAATGACTCTGTTTTGATGAACTTTGTTTCGGGGAATTTTGACTAGTTGGAAATGGAACCTTTCTTTTTTTCTGTTGATAATCAATAATACCTGAATTGAAAGATTCTCGCCATTCCTCATGGAAGCTCTTACCCCGACTTTTGGTGCTAATGTTCCATGATGTGATTGCGCTGACATATTGTGAGGTGTTGTACTCTAACTAATTACAGATCTGTGGCGTGGAAAACGATTTCTAGACGCGATGGGTACGACCTTACGTCGCTTTCCTTTGAAGCCGCCGCCGACTTTATCATTTTGGTGCAGGCCCTGACAGAGGAGTAGTTGAAATTTCTTCTGAATTTCGATACATTTTGAGCAGTGAATTGGGCATGGCAAGTGTTCTGATTAAACAATTACAGTTGAAGTCAACAGTTGCAAACAGATTAGGTAAAGACGGCCTGCTGCCTAGCTGTGCCGCTCGCAACTGGGACTAGCGTCACCGACACAATATCGCAATCTAAAAATCGCAAATCGGATTAGGCAGGCAGTCCTAATCGAGTCCGAGCTCCGCTATTCGAATTGTCTACTTAAGCTTCATTGTTCCGAAGCCTTCATTTCAACCGCAGACGCTTCACAAACAAAATCCCTGCCTACCATTCCGTCATGGCGAAATTTACTCAGCTCCCCGTAGAGCTGCTGCAAAAGATTCTCTCAAATTTCCTAAACATCAACCACCATGTCGCTTACCTGGTCCTTCCCCTGTTCGAGCCGAACGCCGCCGACTTAGCCATGTTGAAAGCGGCTTCACGAACGTGTCGGGTCCTTCGCGACGCCGCTGAACCGCTCATCTGGAGACACCTCTGCCTGACGCAGCCCCGGCGTCAGGGCCACCCGACGACGCGGCAGCTGATCGGCCTGATCCGGCTCTGGCACAATCGACCCGAGCTCGCAGGCCACGTCCACACGCTCTGCTTCTCCGGCGATGACCTGCCCTTCGGCCCTCAAGTGATCAAAGAGGACGACATTGAGTTTGTGTCGCAGGTTCTGCAGGAATTCGGCTTCCAACTGTCGCCGCCTTGGGTGCAGGTTCCGGGACAGACACCCGAAACACAGCCGTGGCATACAGCGTTTAACAACCTCAGCTTCATCACGGCGCTGATAGTCCTCATGGCTCGGAACGTCAGAACGCTCGATCTCTTCGTCGGTGGCGACTTCTTCAAATGCATGCCGAGCCCAGGAGAGACGTCAGCTCGTCTGGAGCTTCTGAACCGTTTCCGGTACCACTCGACCACCGGCGAGTCCATGGCCAGCATGAACCCTCTCCTCCGGCTTGCTCCCAGCCTCAAGCAGCTCCAAGTCTGGCGAGCCCGTCTTGGTCACGACGAAGACCTAGACTGGAACGGGCTCACGTCGCTGGAGCTCCTGGACGCCGACGCGAGTGAAGCGGCGATCGCCAACATCATCAGGTCCTGCCGGGGGCTGCGGGAGTTCACCTTCTCGCCGGACAAATGCCATGAGCCGAACGAGACTATGGAGGCTCTTTTGATGCACGCTAGTACCCTTAGAAAACTCGACGTAAATTTCGGGGCCGGGGGCCAAGAAGATGGTATTTGCGTTGGCTCGGTTGCAGCCTTCACCAGCCTCGAGGAACTTGGGATCTCAGTGTCGGAGATGGGGTGGGACGAAGAATGCACCCTGCACATGTTACCAAGAAGTCTGAGGTCACTCGACATTCATGGATACCCTGTAGATGACGAATGCCGCCAAGAGATTGAGTGGTTGGCGGGCGCTGTTGAATCAGGGACCTATCCCAACCTCAAAGAGGTCTGGTTATCGAGCTGGGAGTGCGACACCGATCATCCGGGGCCGTGTCGGGGCACTTATGTCGACGAGGATCATCCATTTAGAGAGGGCGTCGACGAGCACGGGTCCGACTGGGAGTACGATAGTGACGAAGAGGAGGGATGCGATGGTGGGAGGACGGTTACTGAGCTTCGAGCGATTCTCCTGGAGGCTGGTGTTTCCTGCAAAATAATGTCGCCGTGAGAATCCACGGACTCTAAGTTTCCATTACTAGTTTCAAATTCGGCATATCGTGCAGCTGTTTTTATGGCGGTTCTCATGTGTTGTGAGAAAAATGGCACGCAGTTTTGTGTGTTGATGTGCGTTGGTTAAGACCTTGGGAAGACGGCAAAGCGGTGGCTCATTGAAATTACCATTCGGTGCTGGGGCTTTCATTCATTGACGTGTTGAACATAACTATGTTCCTGGTAAAGGCTTGGTGATTCGGCCATCACAACTCAAAGAGCCCTCGCAATTGGCGGTAAGAACAAGTAGGAAAGCAAACAAACTGGTTCGAGAATTCAAATGATGGCGGTTACCAGTTTCGTCAAGGGCATTGAATCTCACTGCGATTTATTTCAACGCAGACAGGATTCAAGAGAATCCCCCAAGATCCGCAAGATACATCCCTCGTACTTTAACCTCCCAGGCAACCATGTTTCTCAATCATAGCGTTGGAGTATAAGCTGTTGACATGTTTGACCCAAACGACGCAGGTGTTGAAGATGCCCAAATAGAAGCAAAAAGTTCGACAAACTTGTTGGGAGACTTGCCGCACGAGCTGATTACGGGAATCTTGAGCGCAGCGGACGACGCTACCACCATCAGCCGCCTGGCTCGCACATGTCGCGGCCTAGCACGCATCGCCAACTGCGCTCTCTACCGTACTTCATTCGGAGGTACAGATCCAATGAAGTGGGCCGTGGAGCGCGACCGTTCGGATACTCTGACGCAGATATTGGCGCTTCGGTCAACACCGAAATGGGCCATCACGCCTCAGGACCGGGGTGCACATCTCGTAGAAGCGTTGAGAGCTGGCAGCTTCAGAACGGCCGACGCCCTCCTTAATGCAGGTGCAGAGATCATCTACAGCGCTAGCTCAAGGCCAGAATTACGCAGCGAAGAAGTTTCAATACGGGCCAACGAATCTCACGGGCACCTTGGATCCCTCGCCCTCGCCGCTCGCAGCCGCTATCACCTCACCTTTTGGTACAAACCCACCCAGCCGTATGCGTCCGAAGCCGAGTATTGGAGATGGAAGAAACGGACGATGATGAAAATCCTGGCGCGAATGAGGGTTGATGTTTCACGGAGGCATATGGAATATCCTATACTCTCCTTCGATGGATACCGCAGAGAGCTCGACATCGCGCTCATCGAAGCTGCAAACGCAGACGCCCACTCGATCGAGATGATGGACTTTCTCCTTGCCACAGGAGCAAACATGAATGCCGAGATGAACGATCAGTACGTCGGCCAGGTCTGGCGGAACGCTTTGGACGAGGAAGTTCCTAGCTTGTTCCGCGCCAAGGTCGAATTTCTCATGGAGCGCGGTATCAATACGAACAGAGTGTGGTCTTGGCAGAGGCCTCTCACGCCGGCAGAGTTCTTCCTGAAGAAGCTGCATTGGAGCTGTTTGTTTTCGACAGACACATCCTTCATCGGCCGGGGTCTTTGGATGATGGAGTTTTTGGAGGGTTGTGGCTGCCTGGAGTGGCCACTTGCTACTTTTGAAGCTTTCAACACATGCGAGATAGCGCCGCAAGCGAGTGAGTCGGTTGGACGGGAAATGGGCGCAGGACGCGAGCTGGAGTTGATATTGAATGATACGGAAGAATCTTCGAAGCCACTGCAGACGGCATTGGAGCAGCATCTCAGCCGAAAGTTGCTTGAAAGGCGCTTGGTGACACCGAGGACGGAAGGTGAGGGTCCCAGAATCATTGATGGCCATGCTAGCAAGCCGGATTTTGTTGACAAGGAGGGTCTTCCGGAAGCAATATTGCGGCTGGCAGACTTACGCGAGGAATGGCTAGCTGAAGGCTGCTCAGAGATGTGAAAAGTAAGCAAATGTTCAAGCCGTTTTGAAATCTGGCTCTGTCATTTCAAAGTTGCAGGGCCCAGCAGAAGTTGTCTAAATCAGATTCCAATCGTTCAACTTTCGCATGAGTTCTTGAAGCAAGATCAAGACCGTGAAGGAGCTGGATCAACCCCAAACACAGGCCACGACTCGAGAAGCTCGCACTAGCTTGCCCGAATGAGCCATGTGGACTCACATTCGCGGCACATTGTTGGCGAGAAGGCCATGTGGAAGCAGCTGCAGAGTCGGGATAAAGCTTCCAGACGCATGAAATACCTCCACATTGCACGCGTGGGATTCATTACTTTTTGAGGGGGGAAACTGGGCGGTGCGTTTGGTTCAACGTGAACAATCACAAGGAAACCCTGATGTATTTTGCACACGCGACTCCAGACTCGCCTGCAGAGTGGTCAACCGGATGTTTGGTTTCTCATAAGCCGTGTGTGTGCTGTCCATTGCGGGTGGTGTCTGAACAGTGAGGCTCCACAATGACTCGCACGCGATGTTTCCACTGCATCTGTTTCCATTGGCTGGACGAAACGCGGAAGGATGCAGTGGCGTCGCGCCGGGCGGGCATGCGCGCTTCACTGCTGCAGGTGAGATTGATCATTGAGCCGAGATGCATGTGGAGGCGTTGTGGTGCAGGACGGAATGGTATCGTATGCATCATGGATCCTGATGGATGTGAAGGTTGAAGCTATTCGCAAAGTTCAGTCCAGGATCGCGGAAAACAGAACAAAAAGTTCGAGGTGGATGATTGGCGGCCGAGCTGTATGACGTAAGGACGCTTTCTCGCCGTCATTGATTGGGCAGCTGCGTCGGGCTGTTCGGGCGAATGACCCCGGGCGGCGCGGGTGGTGATAAAGGCTGCCGCTGACTGACAGGCGACAGGGGCGGGGCGGTCACAAGGAACTTGGTCATCTCCTCGAGACTTCAACGGGAACGGCATAGCGGGATCCATGGATCTCTCTCCCACGCCGATTACACATCAAATTTCCACACCTGCACCTGCGCTGCACTGCACTGCAAGAGGGAATGGGGAATGGGACCCAACAAGATCCCGTCCGTCCCGCCAACGCCCGCCTGCCCGCCCACCATGTCAAAGTCCGCAGTCCGCCTCGAGGCCGCCGCCCCCGATCTTTTCCAGAGCGACCTCGCACACCTTGCGCTGCTTGCTGACGCCGGCTGACGGAGGAAATACGACCTTTTGTTTCCCCAAAGAGAACCTGCCTGTCACACACCGCCGACACAGATCCGACATCACATCTCGATAAAGGACAAACAAAAAAGCACGATAAAAACCACACACAAAAAATATGGCCGATACCGCGACTTCCGACCCCGCCTCCAAGGTGAAATCCCACGCCTCGACTGTCGTCGCCGAACACGGCTACCCGCGCGGCCATCTGGGGCACCTCAACGAGCACGAAGAGGCGCAGCTCGTCGCCTTCAAGAAGCTGGTCGAGGAGAAGGGGCTGTACAACCCAGGCCCGCCTGCGTCCCACGACGACCAAACACTTCTGTGAGCCGCTTTACACGTTTTTCCCTTCCCTCGGTTTTTCTCTTTGCGCCGGATGTACCGGGACACACGAAAAGCTGACTATTTCCCCTCCAATAGGCGATACCTCAGAGCCCGCAGCTGGGTCCCCGCAGACGCCCTCACGCAGTTCAAGGACACGGAGGAGTGGCGCGCCGGCAGCGACATCGACACCCTCTACCACACCATCGAGCTCGACGCCTACGAGCAGAGCCGCCGCCTGTACCCGCAATGGACCGGCCGCCGCGACCGCCGCGGCATCCCGTTGTACCTCTTTGAGATCAAGCACCTCGACACCAAGGCCATCGCCGCCTACGAGAAGTCCGGCAAGGAGACCTTCAGCAAGGCCAAGTGGGACGGCAAGACCCCGCAGGGCCTGCTGCGCCTGTTCGCCCTCTACGAGAACCTCACCCGCTTCAACCAGCCCTTCTCGACGCAGCTGCAGGACCGCGACTTCAACGACACCCCCATCACCCTCAGCACGAACATTGTCGACATCTCGGGCGTCAGCCTGAAGCAGTTCTGGAACCTCAAGAGCCACATGCAGGCCGCCAGCCAGATTGCGACGGCGCACTACCCCGAGACTCTTGACCGTGAGTTTTTACCCTCCTGCTTTTTCCCTAAACGCTCGCGCGCGCGCAGTCGTTGACGTCATGCAGGCATCTTCATCATCGGCGCGCCCGTCTTCTTCTCCACCGTCTGGGGCTGGGTCAAGCGCTGGTTCGACCCCATCACCGTCTCCAAGATCTTCATCCTCTCCCCGCACGAGGTCCTCCCGACGCTCGAGCAGTTCGTCGAGCCGCGCAACATCCCCAAGAAGTACGGCGGCCAGCTCGAGTTCTCCTGGGGCGACCAGCCGACCGTCGACCCCGCGTGGGAGGGCGTCGTGCGCTGGGAGAACGGCCACAAGGCCTTCACCGGCCGCCCCGCCGTCTGGCGCGAGACCGCGGACGGCAATAGCGTCGAGTGCTTCGGCATCGGCTGTGTCAACGGCAAGGAGCAGGAGGAGCTCATCGCCTCGGTGCCCCGCACGTGGCCGCCCGCGAAGGCTAATGGTGTCGCGGTGGAGACGACCACGACCGTGCCGGTTGACGAGAAGGACGGCGCTGTGACGGAGGGCACCCAGACTGCGCCTGTCAAGATTACCGAGCCCGAGGCCGCGACGACGAACGGCGAGGACGAGCTGTCGAAGCTGTCCATCTCCGAGACCAAGGAGATTACGGAGAAGCACACCAACGGCAGCACGACGGCGCCCGTGGGCCTGGCATAGACGAATTTTGGGTAGAATATAGAAAAGAGGGGGATGCATACGCGGCAGGAGGCGATTGCTTTTGGGTGTGGTTTGGGAAACGGCTTTTATCATATATATACCCCCGAGGGTTCGATGGTGCTAATAATTTACATCTTACTTTGGTCATTCGTCGGACGACGGAGCAACAACATGGGCTGGAGTTTTAGTTCTGAAATATCAAAAACATTGTTTGATTTCATCTCTAGAAGTGCATGGTATCAAGAAAGACGTCGTCGCATCATCTCATCTAAAGCCAGAGGACCCTGAGAACCAATCTCGGTGTGATCGTCCCGTCCCGTCATACGTCTGGCGAACCCTCCCCGCGTCCGTGGAACTGGGATGCCCGAAACCTTACCGCCCCCAACGCCTCTATGTACTGTTTATCCTCGCCCATTTAGTCTCTATCACTCTCGCCGCCGACACTCGTTCACGTTGCACGAAAGCCACAGCTCACCCCGTATACCCCCTCCTCTTCCTCCACTCCGCCACGCCCTTCTCAATCTCGGCCCAACTCGTCCCGTCCCTGACCAGATGCATCGTCACCCCCAAGCTCTCCGTATCCCGATTCCTGCTCTCGTCATCGAAAAACAGCATCTCCGTAAACGGGATCCCCGTCTTGCGGAAAATCGCCTCAAAGTGCCGGATCTTGCTACTCGGATAAATCTCCAAGCCCCCGTCGAAAAACTCCAGCGCCTTCCGCGCCTTCTCCTTCTTCCCGCTCCCGCCCTCCTCCGCGCTCGGCGGCGGCACGTGCAGCAGCTTCAGCATATCCCGCGCCAGCTCCGGCGCGCTGGTCCTCGACGCCACCGCGAGCTTCACGCCCGCCAGCGGCAGGGTGTACAGGATGCGCGGGACGTCCGCGTAGAAGGCGAAGGACTCGCCGTGGCGGTCCGTCGCGGCGGAGTGCGCGGCGTTGGCCTTGAGCGGGCCCGAGACGTGCGTGTCGACCCAGAAGGGCCAGAGGGTGTAGTCGAGGTCGAAGACGATGAGCTTGGGCAGCGGCAGGTCGTCGGTGAGGATGCGCGGGAGGGAGAGCGAGGCGGTGGTCGAGGTGGAGGGCGTGCCGTTGCCGAGGGTCGATGTGCTGCCTCCTTGCGGGGCTTTGGAGAGCTTTTTGGGCATTGTTTTGGGAGCCCGATCCAGGTGGTCTCTGCTTGATGTGGTAATGCAGTCGTACGTGGGATTGGCGTGGGTGATGTCGTGGAGGCAGCGTGAGAGTCGGCGTTATCGTCGTTATCGAGACCGGGTGGGTGTAGATGCTGACGGGAATTATTGTCTGGAGGGGCAGAGCCATAAATTGCGGCGGGCGGTTTTTTTCGTCACTGCCGGGGCAGCTAGCGCATTGGCTCCAACGGCGGGGTCCTGCGGGATTACAGCGGTGATTTGACCCCTGGGCCGCCATCGAAAACCCTCGGCGGGCATGCCGCACGGGAAGCGACGAAACAGCCAGATCAGACGAAGGACTTGGCGGAATGAAATCCGACATAAAAACCAATTCAGTACCATCGTCACAAAGGTAGCAATACAATTCACGACTGAAGTAAAAGGGCCAAAAAGCAAAAGATACCGACGTTGGCCTGATTCGAACAGACGCTCCCGAAGGAACAAGATTTCTAGTCTTGCGCATTAGACCACTCTGCCACAACGCCAGATGGGTATCCGCTGAGGTGCGGACTTGCTAGAGGACTAGGATTGACAGACTATGGAGCGCACCGCCTGCATTCCATCATCATCAGAGATATTGACCCTGTGAGATGCCCAATTCCCGACAACATCACGCCCGTAATCTCCTCCTTTGGATGTGAATCCCTGGCACTCATACCCTGTGGTCTCCTGGAAACAGTTCACGTTGTCTCAGAGGTCGCCAAATGGATCGTAGTCGTCCGCCAACATCGCCTTCTGCACAACCCTCCTCCTGACGCCCTGGTTGCCGCCGTCAAAAATGGGCAACACGGCCGCCTCCTGCACAAGTCTGGCAAACGGGAATTCGTTCGACCAGGACGCTCTGCATTTCCATTAGCACTTCCACCAAAAGAGATGTTAACAGCAGACACTTACATCCCAATGACCCTCATCGCCTCCGCAACGCCCTCAACCGCCACCTCAGACCCGTAGATCTTGGCCTGCGAGCACAGCTCCACCGCGTCCTTT